CTCTCATTCACTCTCTCTCTCATTCTCTCATTTTCTTCTTTAGAATGTTCTCAACATTACCAACAACAACTACTACCCTGTCACTGTAACCTGGCTCAACATTGAGGTACTCCACTTGTCGCTTGTCGTGGGGCACATGGAAGAAAGCAACCTTTGGCACATTGGCCCTTTGAGCAGTGAACAGGTGACTCTCATCCCCTGATATCATCCCTTGAATTGGCTAACCCTGCCCACTCTTTGTTGTGGGCGAAGGTGGAGCATGATAGCTGTGGCTGACAATACGTGTTTCATTGGCAGATATTCTATGCAGTCACCAGCAAGATAGCTGATGAAAACACATAGTGAGTATTGCAAAAAAAACAAAAACCCTCAAAACTTTTTCCCCTTACCCAGAAAAATGAGTTAACCATTAGGAAGCATTCTAAGGGACAGTTTCCAGATGGAACTGGGCTTCAAGTAGTATTAAAAAGCATAACTTAAATTTTTTGAACTCTGGGTACTTTAGGAACTGTTAAGCAGTTTGTCTGTGAATTTGGCCCAACCTGTGGCAGAGCCTTCTGAGCTCGTATTGGTCTGATTAGCCCAGTTGGACACCCTGTACCTTAACCCTGAAATTATGATGTCATTTGGGTCCTCTTCGGGCATGAAGTTCAACAACCAGAAGCAATTCAGGAAAACTGTCCTTGGGGAAGAATGCTGGTGTAGGTTGAAGGGTGTTGCTAAAATGTTTTTAGGGTACCTGGTAGAAAGGCCTCAGGGAGGGGGAGGTTGGTATTACAAAGTCAGTTTCATTACTAGAGCTAGGGATGAGATAGATGGGAGCAAACACAGATATCCCCTGCCTCCAAGAGCCCTCTCACATCTGCCTGCTAGTATCTTCTTGGCTGATGATGACAGGTTAATATAGCATATGGTACAAAGGGGAAGCAGTCTGAAAACTTGAGAGGCTAGGGATGTACCCATATCCTCTCCTTACAAGACACCCTTGCTACTATAAATAATAACCAGGGCCTGTGTGTGTGTGTGTGTGTGTGTGTGTGTTAATCTCTCAGCAACATCTGTACCTGGTCGAAAATCAAAGTCCATAATGTACTTCAGCACATAGAGTAAGTATGTTCTGGGGCAAGAGCTTTGCCTCACCTTCCCTTCTACACCCCCCCACCCCTGCCTCCTCCTATTCTTTTTAGTCCCATTTTACAGATAAAAAAACTTTCTGGCAGGGAAGGATTTGGGGTATAGTGGGAGGGGTGACTCTGTTGTGATTTTGTAATGCCCTTTGGACTAGAAGACCCCAGCTCTCTTTTCAGGCCTTAATTTTGCTCTTAAGATATATACATACATCTTCCTAGATGTCCAATAGTTTATTGGAAGCCAGAATGGGGGAGATGGAGTTATTGCTGTCCCATGGTTCCCTTGAGAGCCCCGGGTTGGTTGGCAGGGTCCCCTGAATGGCAGTGAGAGCACAAGTTAGGGGGAGGTGGCCTCAGAAGGCCTCTTGGCCTTCTTGGAAGTGAAAGACTTCCTGCCCAATGGGGCCATAATGGCCTATTTCCTCTCCAGGGGCACCCTGACCTGCTCCTACCTGAGCCATACGGAGCAACTGGCTTTCCAAAGCTATGACTACGTGGACTGTAGGGGCAATACATCACTCCCTCACTCGCTGGTCCCTCACCCATCATGATGTTGCCTGCTGTCCACAGCTCCCTAATCTCCTGCCTTCCTGCTATTGCCTTCATCTGCCAAAGGACTGGATTCCATTGGCTATTTTTTTTTTCTTTTGGTCTATGAGTGAAGAACCCAGCTTTGTTCTTCTTTCCCCACCCCCTGGATTGCCTGTGGAAACAAGGTCCTGGCAATTCCAGGAGCTGCTAACAGTGATTTTGACCCGTCTCAAGGGCCTCTCACCAGACCAAATAGTACTCAGGTTAAAAGGCTGGCCTAGGATATTCTCCAAGTCAGGGTCTCTGTCCCAGGGCAACTCTTTATTCTGCTCCTCCACAGAAAAACATAGAGGCTTCCTGTTCTTCACACACTTCATTTTTTTTTTTAACAAAAATTCTACACTGAGATGAAGACACAGTGATGGTTAGGTTCTTAGTTGTATGTGGAGACAGCTGTGGTTTAATGTGAATTTTTTTTAAAAAAATGTTTTATTTTTAGCAAGTGCACTCTCAGTTTGCTCCTTCCTGCTAAATGAGAGGAAGGGCTTTGGGGTCTAATATGCCTCAGACTATGAGAGTTAGGGAACCCCTCTTCTTTGTGGTAGAATCATGTGCCTATTCAAAAGTCTTGATAATGGATCTTGGGAAAAGTTAAATGACGGGAAATATAGTTACACATTGGTAGTTATCCTGGGCCTGTATCTGCTGGATTGCCTCATTTAAGAGAGATCCTGTGAGTTTTCTTCCTCTTAACCCCTGCCCTATGTTCCTGGAGCATGTGGCTAGAAACCCCTGAGCACTGAATCATGTGAGAGGATTAAAATGGCAGACAGCCAGGACCTGCCTTTCCCTTAGTACTTTGTACTCTGCCATTGAAGGGGTTGAGCCAGCCAGTTACTGTCTGCAGCCAGGCTGCTATAACTCTGAGGGGGGCAGTCCAGAGGTATTCAACACAGGCCACTTGTTCCTAACTGCCCAGTATTCCTCGCTAAGAGTTCTCTCTCCCTTTCTGCTTCAGCTAACACTCCTCCCCTGCTTTGTAAAAATTGCCATATTCGATTCCTCTGAAGCCGGTGATGAGTCAGATATGAAGGCTCAGGGACAAGGGCTCCCCTGGGATTTCCACAAAGTACAGGGAAGGCATGGCCTTCACAGCTTTTGAAACAATGCTGAAGCCACTTTCAAAATATAAAAGGAAGACAAGCAAGCAGGCAGATCTGTGGTCTCTCCTTGGTGGTTTTATCTCTGTTCTGTTTGAAAGGCTAACCTCAGTGGTGGAGATAGGAGTTTTACTGCCACTGACTAGCCTTGACCTGTTACCTGAACCTGCTAAGGAGAGAAAGGGTGTCATGGGTTGGTTTTTTGTTTTGTTTTGTTTTGTTTTTAATCTTTTTTGGAGGGGAGGAGGGATGGGTGGATCCATCTTCAAAATGGATTTGTCAGACATGAGGCAGGATACAAGGCGCTGTTGAAAACAGCCTCTCTTCTCAGAAATATCTGAGTTGGTCCCTCCCTTATGTCAGGGCTTCCCTCAGACTCTTCAGGGATCAGCTTTTCCAGAGACTTTTTGACATTATGAAGTTGGGGGCTGGGGGAGTAGGGGGAGAGGGATTTATCCTCACCCTTTCTTTCTGTTGTGAAGCCAGAATTAAACTGAAGCCTAAAATAAATCGCCAAGACTGGCCTGTAAATCAAGGTGGTTTCTGTGTTGATTTCTTGGCTCGGGGTGGGGAGTTGAGGGGAAAGCTATTGACACACCTCAGGCCAGGCGAAAGCTTACTGAGGCTCACCTCCAGGGCCAGTAGGCTTATCTGACCCAGCTCAGATGCTGACCCAAGAAGAGCAGCTTTTCAAAGGAGTGCCTCTGATCTGTATGTAAACACTTAGGCTCTTGTTCTTCATCCCCTAGTGCCTTTTGACTAGGAAAGGAAAAGATGACCAGTGCAATTCCACTGTCTCTTCTCTCCCTACCCCACTGCATGCCTCAAAAAAAAAAAACAAAAAAAACCCAACCCAGCCAACAAGTCATCTGCTGGCTCAGTCCAACAACCTGCCCAGGATTCTTGTGAGAAGAATATTTTGTAAACTTGAGAGTGCCATATCAAGGTTAAGAAGTTAGGATGAGACTGTAGGCATGCATCGGGGGTGGCAAACTCGGGAATGGTTTGAGGCCCACCCGACACGGCTCCCAGAGGCCTACTTACCCTGCTTGGTTTTGTTTGCTGGACAGGAGGGAGCAGCATCCCAAACTCCCATCCAGTTCTCCCCGCTGCCTCATGTACATCTAGTAAGAGTCTCCTCTGTCATTCCAAGAACAATTTCTTTATTGATGCGTGCTGTTATCCTCAGTGTTGGGGAAAAGATTTGTTAAGGGAAAGTTTTGGATGCCAACTTCATTGATTACTGATTGCTTCTCATCTCCTGATGAATATGAGGCTGGGTCCTCTCTTTACTACCACTGCTGGACATACTCCATAGCCTGAGGGAGGGGGCAAGCAAAAGTTAGGCATTTACTGAGTTCAATGGAGGGGCTAGACTGTTTAACTTGGAGTCAGGAATACCCAAGTTGGAATCCTGCCTCAGACAGTGCTGATGAGCTCTGTGATCCTGGAAAAGTTAATCTTTATTTCTACCTCAATTCCCTCATCTATAAAATGGATTAAATAATAGCACCTAATCACAGGGTTAATCTCTTGTTTGCCTCAGTTTCCTCATCTGGAAAATGAGCTAGAGAAGGAGATGGTAAACCACTCCAAAATTTGCCAAGAAAACTACAAAACGGGGTGATGAAGAATTGGACGTGACTGAAAAAACAACTTGACAATAACCCTGGATTCAAATGAGCCAATAATTGTAAAGCACTTAGTACAGTGCCTGACACATAGTAAATGCTATATAAATTTGCTAACTATTATCATCAAATAAAGTGATAGACATCAAGTGCTTTACAAACCTTAAAGGGCCTTTTGGAGCATTGTGCTAAGCACCAAAGGATAAAGGCATATAAGAAGATTAGGCGGGGCAGCTAGGTGGCTCAGTGGATAGAGCACTGGCCCTGGAGTCAGGAGGACCTGAGTTCAAATCTGGTCTCGAATCAGACACTTGACACGTACTAGCTGTGTGACCCTGGGCAACTCACTTAACCCTGGTTGCCTCACCAAAAAAGAAAAAAAAAAAAAGATTAGGCAACAACCTCATCTGTATCTTGAAAGAGCTTAAAATCTGTTTCCTCTCATCCTTTCTTTCCTTCCTGTCTCTAAAAAAGAGGGAAAATATATCCTTCCACCTGTTTTCTTTCCGTGTTCTCATATTTTTGTCTAGTATTTCAAATAATTATCCCATTCTTTTGCATCCAGTTCTTTAGTTTTTCCCTCTTGAGCCACTATGTTCCTTTCCTCCCACCCACCAATTTGTCCAGCTGTCACTTGCCTTGAACCTTCTTTGTAGCTACATCTCCTGTCTAGAATTTGGTGGTAAGAGGGAGTTGTCTATAAGAACTACCTCCCTTTTCCTCACCACTCCCATTGCCTTGCAATCAGGCACCAATAAAAATATATACATATGTATTTAATATTTTGTTTTTACATCACTTCTTCCCTCTCCCTCACCCAGAAAGCCATCTTTTATAATAGAGAATTTTTAAAAATGGGGGGAGGGGAAACAATTCAGGAAAACTGATTATCACACCAACTCAGTATTATATGTGATATTCCACATCTTTCAAAGTAGGGGTGGGGTGGTTTGCATTTTTATCTTTCTTCTTCAGGGCCAGATTTGGTCATGATAATTACACATTTTTGTAGAGGCGGGGCATTTCATCAGGCCTCATCTACTTTGTTCTTTCTACCATATTCAACTCTTTGATCACTCCTCAAAACCTGGAACGCTTCCCTTGAATTCTTCCAATTCCCCATCTGTAGGCAATTAATTCCCAGCTTTTGTTGTAATCTCCACCTATCAGCTTAAATTAAACCCATATGATTCTAGGACCTACATGGTTCTGGGACCAACCTGGCTCAGGGACCAACCCTAGGGTGCAGGGTATAATCAGGTAATTGGAATTAGAAGATACCATCAAATCCAGCTCCACTACCCACTGTCAGTGTGACTTTGGGTAAGTAGAGGCAATCTGGGAGAGGGGATAGGAGAGGACAGGATCATGGGTATATACATATGTAGAGGGGCCAGTCTTGGAGAAGAGCCTCCACTCTGCTCCCTTGGCAATCTGTCTGAATCTGGATCACAGTTGGAAGGGGCCTTAAAAGCCATTTAGTCCTATCCTCCACATTTATTACCACTCCCCTAACATTTAACTCTCCCTGAATGACTCCCCAAATCTCCAGTTCTTGCTGCTTCTGCTGAGCTTCCGTCCTGCCATCTTCAACTAACAGTTGAACATTTCCATCAGGATGTCCTGTTATTTCCAATGTATCTAAAACTTAACTAGTCATCTTTTTGCCCAAATTAGCTTTCTTCATACTCCCCATTTTCTTTTCCTTCCTTTCCCTTCTTCCCTCTCTCTTTCCCTTCCTCTCTGCCTCCCCTCTCCCTCCTTTTCTCTCCCTCTCCTTTCCTCTTTCCTTCCCTTCTTCCCCCTCCCTTCTCTTTCTACCTTCCCTTCCTTCTTCCCTCCCTCCCTCTTTCCCTTCTCTCTCCCCTTCCTCCTTCCTTCCCTTCCCTCCCTCCCCTCCCTCCTCATACTTATTTCTTTTCATCTCCATGACATCTTTCTTAAAAGCCCAGCCCTTGGTGTCTTCCTCCTTTGAACTCCTATAATACTTACTGTCTTACTTACTTACTTACTGCTCATGGGGTACTTAGTGTCTACCTCCTTGCATTAGTGTTCATCTTTCTTTTGTAGCTCTTCTGCATTTCTGAGACTATAACCTGAGGACCTGGACTGTCTCTTTCCTCTTTATATTCCTAGTGTCTACTAAGATGGTGCCTTACACATAGAACATGCTCAGTAACTCTTTGGTGATGATGATTTGAGGACCATTGTAAAGAACTCCCCTCCCTTGTCATAGCAAAGTGACAGGTAATAGAGCCAGGTGCTCCAGAGAGGGGATTGTAGTTTGAGCTACTCATGGATGAGAAGTGTATGCATCATCACTTGCCCTTTCCTCTCCCCTTAAAACTTCATGCTTTCCTAGCGTCATAGATTTAGAGGTGGAAGGGATCCTAGAGGTCTGTCATCTAGTCTAATGCCCTTGTTTACAGGTAAAGGAACTGGGGCACAGAGAGGTTGAATGATCTGCCCAGGGTCACACAAATCATATGCAGTAGAGTGCAGATTTGAACTCCAAATCCAGCACTCTTCACAATTCACTCTCACACTCACTCTTTGTCCTCTTCTTACCGTGTATCTCTTTCCACGTTTGGAATGGCGAAGAGTTTCTGGGGCATCTGATAGTGGGGGTTGAAATGAGATAGAAAACATAAGTTATTGTATACAGAGCCATTCATTCATTCAATGATGTATGGTTGCTACTGTTGCTAGCTGTAGAAGGAGGGCTAGCTGACCTGTAAGATTTTTTCTCTAAATCCCATAGTACTGTATGTAAGGAACTGGTAAAAATAGTTACTTAAGACATAGTTCATCTGCTTTCATAGAATTCACAAGCTACTAGGGGGTATTTGACACACAAATTATCAATAACTATTAATAATAATAATAGCTAATCAGCATTAATTTGGAATGGGCTCATTGCTAGAGTTGGCCACCTGGTGACAATTGTTTTTGTAACTCACCCCTTCAGATAACTAAGGCTTAGAAGGACTAGAGTCCTTATTTTCATGCAACAAGCACTCATTAAGCACCTACTATGTGCCAGGTTCTGGGCTGGATGAAGGGGAAATAAAGACTAGACAAAAATCACCCCGGCTGTCAAAGAGCTAACAACATTCTATTGGGGAGGAGAGGGAGAAAACAAACATTTACATACATAAATAAGTATAAGATATATATAAAGTCAGTACCAAGTAGTTGTCGGGAGAGGGTGTTGGCAACTGAGGGGATTAGGAAAAGCCTCATGTAGGGGATGGCTTGAGTTTTGAAGGAAAAGAAAGATTTTGAAGAGGCAGAAGTAAGAAGGGAGTGCACTCCAGACATAGAGGGAGAGCTTGTACAAAGGCACTATTCAAGGGAGTAACCACACAGATGAAATCATAGGACCACCCAGTATGAAAGTCCCAGGAAAAAGAAGCCAAGGGATTCAGAAAAGGTTCCTAGGAAGGGTTGGCACTTGAAGGTTCAGTCTATTTCAACAGCAAGGACAGAGTGAGGTCTTCCAGACTTAGGGAATGGGGTGAACAAAGAAATGGATGGCGATAGGAAAGCCATAAATGGGTAGGAGGGAAGAGGAGTGTCAAAGTGAAGGCAAGTAGTGTGAACTAAGGCTAGAAAGTGAAGAAGGTCCCAGGTCATAAGGCTTGGATTCCAGGCGGAGACTTTGGACTTTGGTTAGTAGGCAAATAGAAAGCCTACCAGAGGATTTGGTCAGAGTAGTGATAAAATGAGATCAGGAAGATTGTAACAGCAGTTTGTAGGATGAGTGGAGCAGATGAGTTTAGAGGCTGATGCTATAGTCTGGGTCTAGAATCAGCAGGAATAGAAAGGAGAGGACAAATGAAGATGATCACAGAGCATTTGACACTTGATTGGACATAGAGAGTGAAAGGGCAGAACCAAAGAGACTGAATTTCCAAGTCTGGGTGTGAATTTCCTAGGAGATTCTCAAAGAACTCTTAAATCAGCTCCCACTCTAAACTGTTTTTAGTCCTAATATACTGTTGGTTTGTCTAACTACTTTCCCTGCCATCTAAACATCTCCCCAGCTGTCTGTATTCCTTCTCTCTCCTCCCTAAATTCAGGGTTATTTTCCCTGGATGCCTAGTTTGTATTTATTTCTCCACCTACACGTTGCTTCCTCCCCTATAGAATGGAGATTTCTTGAGGACAAGGACTGTTCTGTTGTATCTGTTGCATCTCCCTTGCTTAGCGTAGCACCTGGCAATCAGTAAACAGATATGTAAGTTCCTACTATGTGCTTGGTAGGAGGGATAAAAAGAAAGGCACTCAAGGAGCTCCCTGTCTGTCTACACAGTAGATGCTTGAGAAATGCTTGATGAGCAATGATTTTTCATCTTTCAGGCCCTACAGGCAGATACAAACACTTAGGCTGGGCATGTCTGTCCAGAGGCTAGAGAGCTGAGTAACTTGATCTTCCCTATGGGCCGATCCCCTCTGCCCAGTCTAACTCCCAGCTCCCACACCCCCAACTCCAAGGAGAGTTCACTTACTGTGTTTGGGCTCTTGGGAGTGATGAGCAGCTTGCTGGTGAGCCAAGGAATGAATTTTGTGATGGTGGTGACCAGTATGGTGTCCAGTCTGACCTGGGTCTTTGCTCTGGCGCTGGCTCTTGCTCAGTTCCCGGTCCCGGACCAGGCTCTTGGTGTGGCGCTGGCTCTTGCTCAGTTCCCGGTCCCGGACCAGGCTCTTGGTGTGGCGCTGGCTCTTGCTCTGTTCCCGGTCCCGGACCTGGCTCTTGCTCTGGCATAGGTCCCGGTCCCGGTCCCGGTCCCGGTCCCGGTTCCGCTCCCGACTGTTGCTCTGGCCCAAGTCCTGGACTTCGTCCTGCTCCTCGTCCTGTTCTTCGTCCGGGACGTGGCTTCTGCTCTGATGGTGGCCCTGACCTTGGTAGTGACACTGGCATTGGCACATGCAGTGGCCGAGGGTCGGGAGTTCAGGAAACAAGTAGCCGCCTCTTAAGTCTTCTGGAGATCCTCCAGTGATGTACGCCCCCGGGGTCCGGTGGGAGGTCTCGGGGCTCACGTCGCCATACACGTATTGGCGCTCAGGGCTCGGAGAGTGATACCGCTGATAGGGTTCGAGCCCCATGCAGTATCTTTGTTCCTCCAGGTCATTCTCTATCCTTTTGTTCTTCATTTCCTGGAATGTCCCAGAGACCTGGCTTCAGCACCCAGTACCTCACTTTCCATAGCCAGGACTGTGCTGATGGTGATTGGGTGACTAACCAACCTCCTCCAGCCCCAGCTAATGCTACCACTCCAGACTCCTCCTGAGCTCCCAGACAGGGGTGGGGAGGGGTGGGTTAGAATAGGGAGGCGTGAGAGGGGATGAGCGAGGCATAAAAATAACTTTCAGCAGTGAGTATAATTTAAAAGCTCACAGTCCCACAGCTTAACTTCCCTTAGTACTTAGAGGTGGGAAACCTGTGGCCTTGAGGCCACATGTGGCCTTCTAGGTCCTTGGCCTTGTGTGGCCTTTTGACTGCGTCCAGGTTTTACAGAACAAATCCTTTTATTAAGGGGATTTGTTCTATGAAGTTTGGATTCAGTTAAAGGGCTGCACTCAAGGACCTAGAAGGCCACATGTGGCCTTGAGGCTGAAGGTTCCTCACCCCTGACCTAACCTATGGTCTGGATCACATCATAACCAGCTGAGTCAACAAAGATAATCAGGGACAGGAAAATCCAGGAGGAAACCCCAATGTAGTTCAGTAAACATTTATTAAGCACCTATAGCATGCTAGGCACCATGCTCCCAATGAACTGGCTTCTCCCCTCTCCCTCTTTCCGCCCCATCCCCAATGTGGAAATTCATCGCTGAGAAGCAATTAGTAGGGCCCCCTTCCCCAGCCATTCCCAAGTATGTGTACTTTCCCCCTTTTGATAGTTAAATCTCTTCCAAGTCCAAGACTCAGCTACCCTGCTGCCATTGGGATATTAAAGATATCTGGGGAAGAGATTAAAGGAGAGAGATACTCAGGGAGTCCAGGCTTCCCCTCACCTACCTGTTGAAGCTGGTAGTGTCTCCTTCGGTCTAGAGCCATCTGTCTTCTCCGGGCTTCCCAGTGATAAGCACTGGCCATGGTGTTGGAATTTGGAGAAGGAAAGAAGAAAGGAGAGAAAGGTAAGGAAAAGAAGAAAGTGGAGGGGAAAGGAGAAGGGAGAAGGGGAGGACAGGAAGGGGGGAAGTGGGGAGAGAGAAGGGGAGGGAGAGATGGGAAAGGAATGGAGGAGAAAGGAAGAAGGGAAAAGAATGGGAAGGGAAAGGAAGAGGAAGGAAGAAAGGGTAGGGAAAAGGAAGGGAGAGGAAAAGAAAGGGGAAGGGATAGGAGACAAAAGAGAAGTCACCACTTTTTCCACCACACTGTCCCCTCCTCCATAAAAAAAAAAACACTGTTCAGGCTAACCTGTAACCAGAGACACCTCACAATGCAAACTGCTGTCAGGGCAACTGTGTGTGTGTATGAGTGTGTGTGTCTGGGTGGATGGGGGGAGGAAATGAGGAAGGACTGTTTGTCTCCATTTCTGGGCCTAGAAGCATATACATGGTGTCTATCTCTTCCAGTTTCTTGAGAAAGTAAATCCCAGATTCCATCTGGTTGATTGGCTCCCTCAGAAACACTAGCAGCCTTGAGGAAAAAGTCTCAAGGAGGTAGGCCAAGCCAGGCTGGTCCTTTCAAAGTCCTTCCTGGTCTCTGTCTCCACATCTTTACACTGGGGCATGAAATCTGTAAGCCCCATTCCATTTAATGAATGAATCTCCTCTTAGGGAATTTACATTTTAAAAGAGTCTGGTCAACTTAAATGAAACTTTATTTGATAGAATTTAAAATTTTGAGCTATAACAAAGGAGAGATGATTCAGTTCAATGAACACACTATATTCAATGAATCGCAACAAGCATTACACGACTACTACATTCTAGGTACTTTGCTAGGTGCAATGGGGTACAAAGAATGAAACAAATGCCCTCAAAAAGCTTATATTCTGTGGAGGGAAAACAATGTACACATATTAGTAAGTACAATTTTTGAAAAATAGACCTGTGATCTCATCAGTGTATGGAGTGCTGGGTGAGGAAATTCCTCTACCAATAAATGCAATTAGCAGCCTCCTTACAACTCATAGTCTTAAGCCTGGAGCTCTGAGAAAGGTCGATTGACTTATGCACTCTGAATCACATGCCCTGTAGATGGTACGGAACTTGAACCTGACTCCTACAAAATACAAAGTGCATACAAAGTGAAGACCAAGTGATTTGGGGCCAAGGAAGGCCACTAAATAACTGGGAAAGACCTCTTTTTGGAGGTACGCTTGAGCTGAATTTTGAAGAAGCCAGAGATTCTAAGAGGTGGATGTGAGAAACAGTCTATGCAAAGAAGTACAGGCTAGAAAAGGTAGCTGGTGGCACAGTGGGTAAAGTACCTGCCCTCTAGTCAGAAGGATCTGAGTTCAAATCCAGCCCTCAGACACTAGCTGTGTGACCCTAGGCAAATCACCTAATTTCAATTCCTCTTTTCCCTCCGCCCCCCCAAACAAAGAAGAAGCGAAAAATTGGGTGAGGAACAGTTTGTCTGAAGCAGAAAGTGTGAAGGAAACATACACGCAATCAGTTTGAAATGGTAGGTTGGAGCCAAACTAGAAAGGGTTATAAAAGTCAGACTTTTAGTATTTTTATCCTAGAAGTAATAGGGAGACCCTGGAGCTTCTTGAGCCCAGAAGCTACATGTTCTACTGTGTTTAAACGACTGTGCTGTATACAGGGAGGGGGAAGATAACAAAATTTACTCACAGAGTTTGCGGTCTTGAAGGAGAAAAGGCAGCTAAGTATAAAACGCAATAATACCAGGTAAATGCGTCACAGAGGTATAAAACAAAATGCTATATGCAAGGGGAGGAGGAGTCATTATAACTGGAGAGGTCAGGGAAGGTTTCGTGAGAAGGGTGCATTTGAATTGGGTCGCGCTCTAAGCGACAACGCGCTACTCCCCCAGCGATGTGGACAGTGTAGTGGACAGCCCCGAGGCCAGGGAGGACGTGAACCGGTCCTGCGATGTAGAGGAGACCCCGAGGGCTCCCAGATCAGCGCGAGCTCAAGCCGTCAGGACAATGTTTATTGGAGGGTTAAGCTGGGATACGAGCCAAAAAGATCTCACCCAATACCTGTCTCGTTTTGCAGAGGGTGAAGACTGCAAATTGAAAACAGATCTCGTCACGGGGAGAACCGAGTGCCTTCGCATCTGTTCTTTTCAAAGATGCTTCCAGGGTCGATAAGGTCCTGGAACACAGAAAATACAAGCCGGGTGGCAAGCTGATAGACCTCAAAGGGGCTAAAGCTTTAAAGGAAAAAGAACTCTCCAAAAAAAAAAAGGAAGAAGAAGAACAAATCAAAGAATATTTTGGAGCATTTGGAGAGATTGAGAAGATTGAACTTCCTATCGACACAAAAGCAAATGAAAGAAGAAGATTCTGCTTTTATTACAGATACAGATGAAGAACCAGAAAAGAATTATTAGGAAACAGATACCATCAGCTTGCTTCTGGGAAGTGTGAAATCAAAGCTGCCCAGTCCACAGATGTATACAGGCAAGTAACATTAGTAACAGAAAGGAGGGAGAGGTACCAGCTGCAGCTGGCAGGGGAGGTGAGACTAGGGGGTCGGGCCCAAGGTCAGGGCCAAAACTGGAACCAGAGATTTAATAACTGTTATGACCAGACACTTACTAGCCGCGTGACCCTGGGCAAGTCACTTAACCTTGTTTGCCTCAGTTTCCTCATCTGTCAAATGAGCTGGAGAAGGAAGTGGCAAACCACTGCGGTATGACTGAACAATGATCAAGGATACTCTTCGTGACCCCACTTGTGGTTTTCTTGGCAAAGATACTGGAGTGGTTGGTCATTTCCTTCTCCAGCTCATTTGACAGATGAGGAAATTGAGGCAAAATGGATTAAGTGACTTGCCCAGGGTCACACACCTAATAAAAGTCTGAGGCTAGATTTGAACTCATGAAAATGAGTCCAAGACTAGTGCACTGTCCACTGCACCATCAACTGCCCATAGCTACCCAGGGTGGTAATCAAGACTGTAGTGGGCATGGCAGATATTATACTGGATAAAACTATGGGAACTATGGATATGCAGACTACAGCGGTCAACAAAGCAGGTATGGCAAAGCATTTCCAAGGAGGTGATGATCACCAAAACAATTACCACCCATATTAAGGGAGGACGTGGAGAAAACAGGTACAGATGCTACAGCAACCTATCTTGTAGGATAAGGACATTGAATAGAGAGTAGTCTTCTATTGATCTGGGATTACTATTTTGTAAAAGACCTTTACTGTACAGGACACAACTGTGTCCAATTGTATATAGCAGCCCATTTAGTTTTCTTGTTTTTACTTTATTCTTTGTCATCTGTGTTATGACAAATGTGGATTTGTTTTTATATAAATTTTATTTGTATCATTTCATGTTAAATGATTCTCAAAAATAAATTACTTGTGATTGTTTTTCTATGTTAGATACTAGAGAGCCCTGTAAATATGTAATTTTAAATAAGCAATATCTGAGGCCCAGTTTATTTTCTAGGAAGTCATGGATAGTGGGGAGAAACAGTGGCCCTTTATAAATAGTGAGCAACAAACTTTGCCTTAGCTTTCTAATTCCCTTGACGAGGTCTATGCTAAGGCTTTGTGTCCATGTTTAAAATAACCATAGATCCTACTATGCAACTGAACAGTGTTTGTACCCTATGTGCATTCTTGGGATATTTGTGATGAGAAGTGTTAATTCAGCATGTTATGAGTAGCTGAAATTGTTTCTATCAGGCCATAGATCCCTTGACTTTCATTTTCAAGAAGAGTATCTTTTTACTATGCACCATAAAATAAGGCATAATTAATAACTGCTTTTATGAGTTGACAAGATGTTTTAAGCCTATTTGTAAAAAATAAAATAACCCCAAATCACCCATCTATTATGATATTTGACATTTGCATTGAATGTGAGTGCAATTCAAATTGCATATTCCTATATCCATTGAAACTGGATTGAAACTGAAATTGAAATTTGCTCAAAATAATGCAGAGCAAAATGAGCTGAACCAAGAGAATATTGTATACAGTAACAGCGATATTGTTTTAAGAAAGAATTTGAATAAGTTATTTTGACCATTATATACACCCAAATTAACTATAAAAGACATATGAAGAAAGACACTGTCTTTCTGAACTGATAAATAGAAGTATATATAGAAACATATACTTATTTGTGTCTAATGGTAGCCATCTCTAGGGCAGGGTGGGGGAAGAAAAAAATTTACATGATAATTTTGTTGTATATTCGAAAGGAATAGCAAGTTGTGCATAGTAGATTTGCAGTTTCATGTTTGATCTTTTTTTTAATTGTACTATGTTATAGAAATGCTTGTTTTATTCAATAAATTAAAAATAAAATGTAATAAAAATGAAGAAATGGTGATAATCAGAAAAAAAAGAAACTGGATCAAAGATTAACATGGGCAAGATTTTCATTATAGAAGTGTAAGTAAATGGATTGTACTTTGAAGAAATAGTGCATTATGTCACTGCTTACCGCCACACCATCAACAGCTTTTTCTTGTTGGAACACATCATTGGAAAGCTTTAGGATAGCTTTGTCTTTTGTTGTGAAAACTTTTAGGAAAGGTCATGATAGGAAATCCCATAAACTTATGTATTGTTTTGTACTCTAAATAAAGGTTATTTTTCCATTTTTAAGTGATATTAATAGTGCATGTATGCTGAATAGCGAAGCATTTCCATATTTAGATAAAGGGGGGAGGGATATGTAGTAGCTAGAAACTTAAAGCCTTATTTATGTGACATATTCTGTGTGATTGCAGCAGGCTTCCTAGAAGTATATTGCAGTAGAATCAGGCCTTCATAGCTCTTGAGCAGAAGACCCAAATCTTAGTTTGACATTTAATTGACTATCTAGGGTCTGTATTAAAAAAAAAAAACTAGTTTATATTCCCACAGCTCCCCCTATAGATTATGATCTTTGCTAGACCTGAAATAACAAGCTTGTTTTTTGGGCCTATTTGAAGGGAGTATGTCATATGAGAAGGCTAATTTCTCTTGTACTTACCCTAAAGTTTGTTTGTAATTCAATGCAATCCAGTTA